ACAACAACCAATACATTGAGTTGTGACAAAACAGCAACACTAGTGAATCACGAACAAACACTCCCAAAGAACGTTTTAACCAACAACACAAATGGATACACAGACAAACTAGATAGAAGAAGATAGAAGAACACTAATGATTAGTGGCAACCAACAACAACGCCAAGGATGATAGCAACAACATCCGCAAACATGAACATCAATTAGAACTCCTCACAACAAACAACATCACAATGAAAACAACTACAGTAAAAACACTACGAAACATTTTCATATAAAATATAACAAATTAATAAAAAAAAACCAACCACAACTGACCACAACCGACCACAACCAGCCACAACAACAGCCACAACAACAGCCCCAACTGCAAGAATGATCATTTATAAAAGCGGAAAGTTTTTGTAGAGGCGAAATTTTAAAGGGCTTGTTCATGTATGTGTAAATTATCGTTCAGTGCTGCTCATCTTCATACACGTTACGCTGAATAAATGATCCGCTCATTCTACGCGTCGACGTCATCGTGACGTCCTTGTCGTCATGACGCCGTCATCGTCATGGCATCATTGCCATCATAAATGTCGTCACCGATTTTGTCATAATGCTCATTTTTTTTGTCTCCGTTGTCATCATTGTCACCGTTACCATCATTGTTGTCATCATCATCCTCATCGCTGTTCTCACCATCATCACCATCGTCATCCTCTATGCCATCATCGTCGTCATCGTCATCATTTTCGTCATCATCTTTGCCATCATCATCGTCATCATCATTTTCATCATCGTTCTCATCATTCTCATTCTCAACTGAATCATTTAATTTTTAGTATTCAAACATCGCCTGATTAACATCAGTTTCATTTTCATCATATTGGATTTGTTTTTTTCTCACGAGCAAGTCAATCTACCGGCCAACATCGTAGTCGTCCTCATCATCATCGTCGTCTTCATCATCGTCGTAGTCATCATTTATACATCAGGCTATTCAAAACGGACGCTTCCATCACGTTATAGAAGATAGTGATAATGATGATAACGAACGATGACGACCATGGCAGAGGTGAAAATGACGATGGTGATAAAAATTATGCTACTTATAAGGATGATGATGATAGTGAGTGATGATAGTGAGTGATGATAGTGAGTGATGATAGCAAGTGATGAGGAAGTTGATAGTGACCTGGTAAAAGAAATTATACACTACATCAATGACTATACATCGCAGCAATGAATACAACAAACTACTCGGGCGGAGATGACGAAAATGAAGATGAAGATTTGATGATGATAATAATAATAATAATAATAATAATAATAATAATAATAATAATCATCGTATTATTAATGATGATGAAAATGTATCGCCACAGTACTGCAAAACTACGACGACAAGGAAATGATGTTGCTGTTGTTGTTGTTGTTGATGGTAACGACGATGATGATGATGATGATAATGACGACGACGATGACGATGAAGATACAGCTGGTGATGGAGATGAAACCGACGATGAGAAGGAAGATAAAAAGGTGATGATAAAAATGATAACGAAGAAGATGATGATAATAGAATGATGATAATGGTTACATTGTTATCGAACGAGGACTAGGCTGGGGATTATTGATGGCAAACATGGTGTATTGCTAGCATCTCCAGACATCATTCACATGAATAGCATCCCGGCACAACCGCACTCCACTTTCTGTTCATTTCTCCATACTTTTATTCATCTATCTAATCTACATATCAAATACGTCATCATCCTTGTCATAGCCATCTTTATCGCTATCATAATCTTTATCATCATCATCATCATCATCGTCGTCGTCATTTTCTTTTTTTTCTTCGCTATTATCATCATCTTAATTGCTATCATCGTCATCTTCATCGTCATCATTATCATTATCGTCGTCGTCATCATCGTCATCATCGTCGTCATCATCATCATCATCATCATTACCATTATCCTCTTCTTCTTCTCTATCACCATCTTAATCATCATTCAAGCATAATCAACTTCATCGTTTTTTATAATCATCGAGAGTATGGTCATCACTAATATCATCATAATATCATCAACAACATCGTCATCGTCGCCATCATCTTCTTCATCTTCATCATCATCATCATCACCTTCTTCTTCATCCCTGATATCATCATAATCTTCTTTTTCTTTATCATCATCTTCACCAACAACAACATCGTCATCCTCATCATCATCATCATCTTCTTCTTTTTCTTCATCATCATCATCAGCAACACCATCATCATCGTCATCATTATCTTCAATTTACTGCCATCACAATCGTCATTTTTTCCATCATCTTAACAGTAGTGTGATAGATAATAATTTTTTATCCTTATTATCACCACTTCCGCCATCATCACCATCATCACCACTTTCCATTTTTTTTATTCATTCATTCATATTTTATTTTCATCTTTCCATCTCGCAAACGTACAATGGAGGTCATCACTGCTAATGCTCACAAAGATAGATGGATGGGTGGATGAGTAAATAAATGAATGAACGAATGAAAGGAAGAATGAATAAATGAATAAATAAATGGATGAATGAATGAAAGAAAAAAAATGACCGAATGAATGAATGAATGAATGAATGAATGAATGAATGAATGAGTGAGTGAGTGAGTGAGTGAGTGAGTGAGTGAGTGAGTGAGTGAATGAATGAATGAATGAATGAATGAATGAATGAATGAATGAATGAATGAATGAATGAACGAAGGAAAGAACGAACGAACAAACGAACGAACGAACGAATGAATGAATGAAAGAACGAATGAATGAATGAATAAACAAAGGAAGGAACGAATGAATGAAAAAAAATGAATGAATGAATAAACGAAGGAACGAACACGCAATAAATAAATGACTTAATAAATGGATAAGTAAATGAATGGGTGTATAAATGAATGTACGAATAAATGAATGAATAAAATAGTAAACGAATGAAAGAAAAAATGTATGAATGAATGAATGTATGAGTAAATGAATTAATTAATTAGCGAATGACCGTATGGCTGAAAGTGCAAACAAATGGATGAACTATCAAATTGAATGAATGAACGAATAAACAAATGAACGAACGAACGAACGAACGAATGAATGAATGAATGAATGAATGAATAAACGAATGAATGAATGAACGAAAGAACGAATGAATAAACAAATGAATAAACGAACGAACGAATGAATGAATAAATTAACAAATGTAGAAATAAATGAGGGAGTGAATTAGCGAAACGACCTATCGATAAATTATTTACAGAATGAATGAAAAAGGAGTAGAACTCAATGGATGGGAAGAAGGTGTCAATGAAAAAAGGAAGAATCGGACGGACGACAGAAATGAATGAATGAATCAAAATGAATAGATGGTAGAAAATGAATGAATGCATGTATGGATGAAAGAAAAAAATCGAATGAGTAACTGAACAAGTGAATGAATGAATTAGTGAATGAATGTGTGATTGAAAGAACAAACAATCGAATAAAATTGAACTACCAAATAAATGAATGACTGAATGAATGACGACTAAATGATAGACAGACTGACTGAATAAATGAATGAATGAATGAGTGAATGAATGAATGAATAAATGAATGAACGAACAAACGAACAAACGAATGAATGAAGAACGAATGAATGAATGAATGGATGCTGTTATTGATTTGTGATGTCCCAATTGATAAGGAAGAAATAAGATGGAGGCGTCTTTAACAAAAAATATATGTCCCTTAACATCCCGGTATATATATATATATATATATATATATATATATATGTATATATATATATATATATATACTCTTTTATTTATTTATTTATGATTAAGTACTTTATATGATGTGATTGGTTATAATATTGTTAATTACATCATCAACATTGAAATGACGTCACCAATGAAATGATATAATCACGTGATATATAGCACCAAAATGACACAAACACGCCATAAGAAAAAAATGTAAACATTAAATGGACCAATAAATTGGCACGAACCGAACAAACACGGTGATGACGTCATGTGCAGTGTCAAGAATTACATCGAAACAAAAGCAACAACAAGATCAACAACAATAGCAACAACAGCAACAACAACAACATCAATTACAGCAACAACAACAACATCAACTACAGTGATATTACTAACATCCGTAACTCCATCCACACCAGCAACAACACTAACAAAAACAGCACCAGCAATAACAACAACAACATCAAACAAAGCATCAACAACCATGTCACACTGACTCAGATATTAGCATATAGACAACAAGTTCAACGCTGAAAATTTTGTAATGAAATACTCATACACCAGCATACACTACTTACACACATACACACGTGTATACACAAACATACACATACATTTACACAAACACACACACACACATACACACTCAAACACGTACATACAAATAGTTACAATAGACACGTACACACACACAGCTGCCGGTGCGATTTGGTGGGCTGGGGTTGCTTAGCGTGGTTCAGCTGGCTCCCGTTGTTTATAATTCTTCTGCCGCTGCCACTCTCGACCTACAGTCTTCCCTGCTCCACCGGTTTTTTCGTTGCCGCGATATCCTTCCCCCAGTGTCCGCCCCGGGGGACCGTACGCACGTCCAAATTTTGAACAAAGAATATAAAAGATCTTTCAAAATTTGTTGTCTTCATGCGGCGACGACTTTTCCACCGCTCGTTTGTTGGCCATGTCCAGCGTTGCCAGCTGTGGGTGGTTGAGATCGTGGCCCAACACCTCTGTGGGCACCAGGCTTGACGACGGGTCTGTGAGATTTGCCATTGGCTTCAGACTTGGCCTGGTCATTCAGAATAAATACACGTGCCGATGTGGCGCTGGGGCGGACGAGTTTGGGCACCACGGTTTGGTTTGTCGCCTGGGTGGGAGCCGTTAACTACGTCACTCAGCGCTAAACGAATACATTTGTCGGCTCTTCTCCAAGGCTTCAATCCCGGTTCTCAAGGAACCATCGGCATTTCTGCGCATGATGGCACACTAATACCTTGGAGAGCCGGCAGATGTTTGGCGTGGGATGTTACGGTCCCTGGCACCCTCGCCGAACGATATGTAAACCTGACAAGTAAAGAATGCGGTTTGGCCGCGTCCAGGACAGCGGACGAGTAAATGAAAAAATATGGGAACGCCCTCCCCTCAATGGAATTCCTGCCAATATGTATCGAGGTTCTCGGCCCGATGGACCCCAACACCCTTAAATTTCTTAAGGCAATATGTAAAATGATCAGCGTCAGATCAGGCGACAGCAGGGAACTGTTTTTCGCAACTAACCACATTTCGTGCTTGTTGCAGCGGTTCCTGCGTGTCTGTGTGCTTGAAAATATCCAACTGAATGCCGACATGTGCAATTAACGACAAATCAAAGTGTTAATCCATTTGTTACTTAATGTTTGACGGTTCAGTGTCACTCATCATGTTTTGGTTTTAACACACACACACATATATGTTCACATTAGTGAACGAATGAACGAAAACTCATCAATACGCTTTCACGTACATCCATATTTTTGTACACGCACATGCACACAAATGCTTTTGCTCAAATCCATCGATACACAGACAAAACAGGCAACCAACCAGTTTACTGAGTAACAAATCAACTTAATGTGAAAATATTTCTTTTAATTTCATTATTTTTAATATATATTAATCAATTTATTAATTTATTTATTAAATAATTTATTTGTTTATATTTTAAAGTTTATTACGATAATTAATCAAAAAACATTTAAATAATTAATTAGAGTGCGTTAGACTTAATTAAACATCACCAACACAAGAGATGTAACATTTCAGTAACATTTGAATGAATTTCAGTAGCATTCAGCATTAATAGCACAATATATACCCATTAAATAACGTTAATATATATCATACAAAGTTATATACGTTATATAAAGCCAGTGTGTTATAATTACATCGCAACCAAATATATAACATTATAATATAATAAATAACATTTGTTATTATAACCATTGCAATATCCAGCATAGCAAAAATACTACTGTGACTAACAATGTAATGATACTAGACTACTACTCAGTATCACCAAAGTCAATGTGAATTATTACACTATAATAACATCACAGCAACAATGTGATGTTGATGTGATGATGACAAGAGAGCAGATAGCATCCTTCGTGTTTCTATCTTTCTAATGCTTCCAGTCCGTGGCTTCTTATGGGATGGCCAGGAAGAAGATGTTAAAAAATTACAACAAAGAAATTTTCTCTCTAACCATGCAACATATTAAAGTGGTCTGATCATGCTTGCATGAATTCACACATTCACGCATGCATGCATGCATGCATAGATACACGCATACATATGCTCACATAATAAAAAAATAAGATATATAGATATAATTTACATATACATGTGATATATATTCATATGCACTTATGGTATATACATACACATATAGTCACACACTTTATACATATATTTATACAAATACACAAACATATGCGCAGATCTCGACTGATAAAAAATATACATATTTGCATATACAACATACATACATTCATACATACATCCATTCATCCATCCATACATACATACACACACACACACATACATACAAACACACACACATACACACACACACACACACATACATACATACATACACACTAAATCCATACACGCTAATATATACAATTCATATTATGCATGCATGAATAAAAATAAAATCCTTATGCACATTCGTACATACATCTATAGATAAGAAAAATATTTTAATGCCTGCTCTAGTACTGTGGATTTGATTTGTATATACCTTACTTTGTATATACCTTACAAAGATTCCTACGTGTATACACCCATGTATGTGCCTATTTATGGATATGTACCGTTCAATCCAATCCTTTATTTGCCGGTTCGACACGGACAGGACATATTTGATAGGGAGGGCGGGATAAACATAACGAAATTAAACTTTAAACTTTCATATTAAAATGGAATGGCTTGTATAATTTAGAAAGTTAATCAAAAATTAAAATTTATAAATAAATAACTGAGTCAAATTGATTGTTGAAAAGAAATTTCAAATTTCCCCATATAATTTTAATTATCGTTAATTTTATACTGAATTTTTATTCAAAAGTTTATTCTGAATGTCTGCGGTATATAAAAAAGAGAGCTGGTAGTATTGACTGAGGACATAATTAAAATGTCTTCCCGTCAAAGAACTCTTTAAAATCTCGCAAGTTAGGCTATCTATAAGTCGATCACTAATAAAAAAATTTCCGATTAAATATGGATTTTATTTTTGAAAAGTAGAATTTTTTATAAAAATTGATGAAATAAAATCTAAAATTAAAAAAATGCCAGTGGATGTTTATCATCTGGAAAAATCGCAACAGTGTGACATTTCATATCAGGTTGATTGCTTTATTTATGACCTGATGTATGCCCGCCCAAGTTATGTTGCTATAAAAAGTTTATGAGGCTCGAACCTCTTCATTTATTACGCTTGCTAGTCGTTGTTTCTGTTCAGTAGTAGAAACAACTTTCTTGTGGGTGTAAGTTAGTAAGAGAGCTTCGTTGAGCTAGATACAACATATTTATAAGCAGGTTCATTCATGTAAAAAGAAAATATCACAACTCAACATGAAAATGATGCAAATAAGAGTGCAAATCATAACTAGGGCATGTACTCCAACCAAATGTCAATCAATCAACTCCGTCAATATAAAAAAACAAATTAAACGTGTCTATTGTTTCCTAAATTTTAATTTCAATGGGCATTTTTTAAACTCGAGCATCAGGTGTACCAGAAATCATTTGAGATTTGTTCGAACTAATTTGAGTTCCCGAACTAATGTTTTATCGTTACACCAATCACAGCATCAGCTCTTCAATTTATTTCTATTAAAAAACAAAGCGTTTGCGAGTGTTTGTTAACTTTTATTGAGAATAAGTACGCATTATTCAGGCTTTCAAGTCAGAGAAAACTAAAATATATCTTTTAAGGTCTAACTCTTTGGGCTGCAAGTTTTTATTTTTGATGTGCATTGATTTGGTTATATATGGTTATAATACGTTGTTATCAAAAATCAACGTGGTCATTTATTGCGTACGGTATTCATTCATTCATTTATTTATTCATTCATTCATTTATTCATTCATTCATTCATTCCTTCATTCCTTCCTTCGTTTATTAATTCATTAATTAATTTATTCATTCATACTTCCATTTGAAAATTTGTTTTCATGCATTTGTACATTACTGTGGTCTTATTTGTTTTTTAAAATTAGTTAACATCAAATCAGTAAAAAGTAAATAGTTCACAAAATGCTTCATAAACATCTCCTTAATACTTCAAATTGTTTGGCCTAATTCTATTTATACTTCTCATGTCTCACGCACATGCCCGCATCTTAAATTTTTTTTCTTCCATTGATAAGGACCGCAAGATTTAAAAAACTGAAAGTCCTCATAACCGAATTGTAATTATTAAAGGGCACGTTACAAAAGTTATTCTTCATCATTCAAACTCAAACTCCACTATTTCCTATTTAATTTGTAAGCATCATAAGCAATAGCATATTGTCCTTACTTAATAAAAAAATATTTAATGAGGGATCAGCAAAAACGTTAAACAACGTGACACGAAAATGAAAAATTTTCAAGTTTTTTGTGACGGGACAGTCGAAAAACAAAGAAACGAGACATCCATTTTAGATGAAAGATCTGTCATCATTTCTTAGATTTTGGTTTCAATGTTTTTTTTCGTAATTATTTCTCGTCAAGGCGTTTAAAATCGATAAAGCCGTAGCGATGCACTACTGCAGTGATACATTTTTACAGAACTGAGTGATTGGTGCGGCTGCTCTTTCGTCTTTGACAGCAGTTCTGCTGTTGAAGCTAATAAAATCGTTACTCATTTTTGTGGCAGAAAATTTTTTAAATTCTTTCCTACTCACAGTTTAATAGAAGATTTCGAAACAAACAAAAGTATGATATGAATATTTCAAGGTTTCCAAAGCTTGTTTATTTTAATTAATCGATTGGAAGATAAATATCATTGATAAGTTTCGATTATGGCTATGGTCTGACACTTTCATAATTTTTTTGATAACTTATCTTGCAAACATTTAAAAATTTTTTTTCTAAGAAATCGTTTAAATATATATTAATAATATCAGCCAAATGATCAAGGTGGTATTTTGCATCGAGTTATTTTCTGCAGAGTTTTTTTTAGAACGTATTGTCATAAAATAGGAAATACTAAATGCTAGACAGGCAAGACATTACATGCATACACACGAGAAGTTTTTATTTGCCATTTGATGTGTGTATTGTAGGTAGGAAACAAATACTTATTTTCATACATCGCAACTTCTCAATTTTTTTAACCCGTGATGAATCGTAAAAGTACCTGAAAATGGCCCTATAATCCGATCAGGTGGACACTGAAAGCTTCAAGGCTTAACAATTTTTGGTGCGATTAAATAAATATTTTTTTTATTTTTGAGAGTTTGTTCAGTGAAGGTAGTTAGCGCTACAAAAATAATTTATTTTATTTCAAACTACAATATAAAGGTATTTAAACACTTATCTGTCTGAGTTCGATTTTTAAAACTGTCTTCATTAGAAACACATACGTCATCATCATCATCATCAGCATCAGTGTTATCATCAGCACCATCATCATCAGCATCATCATCATCATTAGCATCATTATCCTCATTGCATTTTAATCACACGTTCTGAATAGAAATGTTGAAATACCATCTTCAGTGCAACTTAATTGTTGTTGCGTCAGTGTCAGCCAGCCGGACATGAACAAGTGCAACTTTGCGTCCAAGATTATTTCTCAAAATTCATTCATCCGACAGCAACCCAGCCAGTACTAAAAAAGTTTTTTCAGTTCAATTCTCTTCATCTCATTTCTATTCATCTCATCAAACCAAGTAAAAATAACTTTCGTTTTACTTCTGACTCTTACAATGTCATAAAAATATTAAAAACGTAAACAGGTCCTTCAGCTCCCTTCCTACTTCCAGCACCTCTGGAAGCAGGCAGAACGAGAGTCAATAAAAGTGTCTATGCGTTGTTGTTGTTGTGGTTTACGTTGTTGTTGTTATGTCTGTCTGTCTTTATACATGTATGAGTTTATTTATGTTTGGGGTTCTTGCACAAAAAGGAACTTCGTTGCTCCATTCAAAATACAAAATGCATTAAATCTTTGTAATAATATTGATGTATATTGCTTTATGTAGCGCTTGTCTTCCGGATTGCTTTTGCTATTAACTGATTGATGAATGTTTGTGTTTGCCCATTAGTTGGGCCAAATGTTTTAACGCATACTAGTTTAAATATTCTGGTGTTTTTATTTAAAGTGGCATATTCTATTGATTTTTGGTCCGACGCTTCTATCGCAGCTGTCCCAGCCTCTGTTGACGTAAAACCGATATATCTTACGGCCATTGTGTGGGTAAAAGTTACGTCCCACTATAAGGAGCGTCTTTGGGCCTTTATTACCGGAATGGCAGCTTTTTGAAAAACTTTGACTATAAAATCATTCATTGCAGAGTGTCGGGCTTGCCTTTCTGATCCCAACCTACAAGACACTCCACAGTGACCGCTCTCAACCATTCGGAGCCTAACTCACTCCGAACTGCCATGATCCTAGCTTTATCATGTATGTACAGATGTATATATGGAGGCATATATGTATGTATATGTATGTACGTATGTATATATTTATAACATCAGATACGTGTGTAATCTACATGCATAAAAAAATATCCAAGTATAACACAATGTGATTGCTTGGTATGTCTGCAAGAAACTGCAAAAACACTTACACGTACATAATCGTACGTGTATGTATTTGTTTTTTGCGTGTGTGTGTATGTGTGTGTATGTGTGTGTGTGTATGTGAGTATTTGTACGTACATACCATGGTATTTATGTGCGTGCGTGCATGTATTTGTGCATACCATTTTATGCATACGTGTGTACGTGTGCATGTGATGTTTATATATTTACATGAAGCAAGGGAACCGATGATGTTGATATGACAAGGGAAAAGGATATAATTAAAATATATATAACATGAATATATAGTGATATATAAATATAACATACATTATATATGTATAAGTATGTGTGTGTGTATGTGTGTGCATGTGTCTGGTTGCGTGAGTTTCTTGTTGTGCATGTGCGAATAGTGTATTTGCGTCTTGTTGTGCATGTGTGAATAGTGTATTTGCGTGTGTGTGTGTGTGTTGTGTGTGTGTTGTGTGTATGTGTGTGTGTGTGTGTGTGTGTGTGTGTGTGTGTGTGTGTGTGTGTGTGTGTGTGTGTGTGTGTGTGTGTGTGTGTGTTTGAAGAACGGCTTGTTCATTTTTCACATTAATCTTAAATTCCCATATCTATCATAATTCTCACACTCTGACATCAAAAACTAAGTTAATTACCGTCAGCCAGGCAAGCATCAGCATTTTGACAGCAACCGCATTAACAAGTGCGACTTTTAAAGACTGAGTTTGTATGAAAACAATAACATAAAAACAACTACGAACAACTTCCATAACGGTAACATTAATAACAACACCAACAGCAACAACATTTGAACGCCGTTGAAAAATTTTCAAAAGCAGTTCCGCAAGATTAAAAAACTACACAAGCGTAAAATGAGATGGCAGACGAGATGTGACTGCCGGATGTGAGTTCATCTTATCCCAACTCCGTCTCATCCCTAATTTTTGATCATCCTTATCCTGCCACATCCTTTATTGCCATAGTCCCATTTCATCACGTGGCTGGCTATTACGTCGCATTCTCCCACTCATTTTCATATTCCTATTTTGTCACATCCCTTTATTATCACATCCCTTTATTATCACATCCCTGTTTTATAGCCTTCCTTTATTCAGCCCATTCCAGATTCAATATGGCCTCCACAAAATACAATGTAGTTAAAAAACCAACGTTTATCAGATAAGACAAAAGTAACGACGATGAAAATGGCGGTGATGGTGATGATGAAGATGATAATGAGGGTGACGACGACGACGATGATGCTTATGAGGGTTGTTGCATGTTCATTGTAGTAATTAATATTGCAGCATTTGTTTGTTGTTTACGAGCAGTAATCAATTTATGATGCGCTTCATTTGAGCTTTTCAGCTGGTTCCTATTTTTTTCGTCTGCTGTTCGTTAGTACGTTGCATGGATGTATTAATTTGTGTATGTGTGTGTGCGTGCGTGTGCACGTGTGTGTGTGTGTGTGCTCATTTTTATGATTTATTTGGCTAAAATTTTGTGTGTATGATGAAATGTAGATAATTTGAGTGCAAACACACTAACAAATAACAATAAACGCATGTCAGTGTGCGTGTGTAAGTGTATGTGTGTGTGCGTGTGTGTATGTATGTGTGTGTGTTGTAATGTGCTGAATATTTGTAAGTGGGTGATGTTTCTTATGATTTTATCGATTTTCTTCAGTCGTTTTGTGGGCTCGGCAAAAAATGCACAATAAAATGCCTGTAAAAAGTCATTATCTCCACTTATGATTTGCAGTTATGTCCTGTATCTGCAGTTATGTATACTGCTATTTAGCATATGCATGCATTCATTTGTATGTATTATGTCGCCACTGTATGCTTGTGTGCGTTCGTATATGTATGCATGTGAATTCAGTATGTGGCTATGGAAAGATGTGCGTGTATGTATGATTGTGTTTTATTTGTTTCAACATATGCGCGTTATCAGGATGTTTGAATGTATGTTTATTTACGATCACATCATATATGCGCGCACACACACACAAACAAACACACAAACACTACACACATATAAACACTGCACATACATACATACACACGCACACACACAACAATGTAAAACGTCTTTTTATATACATATACACACACCGGCACACACAAGCAAACTGACAAACAAACAGATAGGTGTGTATAATTAGAAAGACATAAAAACGGGAGCAACCTCATACAAACATAAAAAAAACTTTTTGCAAAACATAAAAAAACATTAATGCGTGTGAAAACATACAGAGAATTATACAAATTAATGCAAAAACCGATGATTGTGAATAAAAATGGATACATAAAATCAAAAAACGGATACATAGAATCAAAAAAAAAGCATACAGACACTCAACTATACGGAAATCGACAAAGCACGCGTGCGTGCACACACACACACACACATACACATTCAAACTTGAACAAAACACACACACACGTGCGTTTTGTATGTGTATTTGTATGTGTTTTGCACAAGAAATACGCATATAATGACCGGCATATAAAATCAAAACTAATAAAATCGTATTCAGAAAGACGGTCAAACAAACACACACAAACTAATAAGAAAACATGAAGACTTGCACAAACACACGGGAACTAAGAAGAAAACACACAAACTGATACAAACAAAGTGACATTAAAGACATACATCAGGACAGGACTGCTGTAGCTCTGCAGTTGAGGATATGAAGAACATAAACTATACAAATATGTTATGGCCTATCGTAAAAAAATTCTACAACACTAACAAATACACTCCATTACATCACAAACAAATACATAAATAAAATACATATGTACATACATACATACATACATACATACATACAGGCTCGACACTCGGCCATGAACGACTTTTTGGTCAGGTGCTTTCAGAGGGCAAACATACCCACAATTAAAGAACCCACGGGTCTTATGGAGGAAGGTAGCCTCAGGCCCGATGGGTATACTATTTCACCATGTGCGAAGGGACGTTCCCTTGCTTGGGATGTTACGTTCCCTCACACCATGGCTGAAAGGTACATTAATCTTACCTCACTGGAGGCGGGTGCCGCTGCCTTAAGAGCCGCAGACTTTAAAAATTCAAAATATGCGGCTCTTGCAGAAAGCAAAATTTTTCAGCCAGTCTGCATTGAGACCTTTGGTCCAACCGATGCTCAGACTCAGAGTTTTCTGAATGAACTCTGTAGCAGGATTGTAGAAGTATCGGGTGACCCATTAGATAAGAGTTATGTAAAGCAATCCTTTTCTATTTTACTTCAAAAATATAGTTCTTTCTGTATTTAGGATGGAGCGTTAAAATACCTGTCTGTGCGAAGCGTTTAACATAGATTAAAGCTGAACCCGGATATGATTATTACTTCCCTATAGTTCTAATCAATTATGGGTTCATACATACATACATACATACATACATACATACATACATACATACATACGAAACGAAACGAAACGAAACGAAACGAAATTTTATTTGCTTCTCAAAATTAAAAATTAAAAGAAAGCAGGATGACCATAATAGAATTTATAAAAAATTCATCTAGTATGGCCACCTAAACAGAAATGTTCTATGTTCGTACAAAAGTTTTTCAGCAAATAATAAAAATTTTCCCCAAATGATCTATGAGTGGCATGTTAGATGTTAGTTGTTAGTAAGTTAACGAACTCAACTATGTTAGCAAAACAGGTGTTAGTTGTTAGTACGATGGTTCACGGTTTATGTATAACAATGTTTGGTATCTAGGTACATACATACATACATACATACATACATACATACATACATACATACATACATACATACATACATACATACATACATACATACATACATACATACATACATACATACATACATACATACATACATACATACATACATACATGCATACATACATACATACATACGTACGTACACACACACATACATACATATATACATACAATTAACGACAAATCAAAGTGTTAATTCATTTGTTACTTGATGTTTGACGGTTCAGTGTCACTCATCATGTTTTGGTT